TATATATATATATATATATATATATATATATATATATATATATATATATATCTTCAGGAGGAAGAACTGAGCAGTTCCATCATGTAAAAAAAAAAATAAATCACAACTTTATAATGAAATTGTGTGGAATAGAATCATATATTATGACGGAGCTTTTGGGCCACACTAGAAAAAAAAGGCCATAAAATTACGAGAATAAAGTCTTAATATTACAAGAATAAAGTCATACCAGACATTTTTTTTTTCTTACAGCTCTCGTTTATTTATTTATTTATTTTTCCCAGTCGGATCCACAATGCGACCTGTCAATCAATCCAGTAGGCGTGTCAGCACATGACCAAACCGAAGTCAAATGAGTCGTAATGTTATCGGAACTCCGACACAATAAAGCATTTTAACTGTGGTACAATGAAGAATGTTGAGCATCTTGTTAAGTTATACTTTTGTTTTACAGATAAGAAGATGGTTAATCTGTTAGCACATCAGCAGATTATTATCAGTATCAGGACATTGAACCTACTTACAGTAAGGTGGTACGCTCTGATGGGCTGCAGCGCAGCTCTGCAGGTGAGGAGCATTTAGCTTTGGACTGGTCATTTGCTGACACGCCTGGATCGATTGACAGGTCGCACTGTGGATCTGACTCATGGAAAAAAATAAAATAAATGAGAGCAGTTAAAAAAAAAGTCTCGTATGACTTTATTCGACTTTATTCTCATAATTTTATGGCTTTTTAATAAAAAAATATATATATTTGCGTGGCAATGTAAAAACTTTGTTTTTTTTATTTGCGTGGCCCTAAAGCTCGTCATAATATAAAACTCCTTACAAAAAAAAAAAAAAAATTCCACTTAGGGGGCCCCCTAGTGGCCCTGGGGCTCCAAACACTTTGCTTATGCCCTGAGTACTGCAGACAATGACTAAAATAGTGTATTTAATGAAACTTTTTGATTCAAATGTAATAAGAGCCTGCGTGACAAAAACATAAATTAGGAATCAGCTGCACGTGATGCTGACAGTCAGGGTGCCAAGATCCTCTGGTGTGGCACTCGGATGTCATTGAATATCTGAGATGCTTATTTTAGTGTTTTTGTCTGCAGAAGAAGAACTTGAGATTTTCAGGAGGAAGAACTGAGCAGTTCCATCATGGTTTATGGCCAGGTGCTTCATCAGCCTGATGACTGCTTCATTAAAGTCAATGTTGGAGGATTCAGGCAGCGTTTGAACCACACTGTGCTCAGGAGATTCCCTCAGACACGTCTCTGTCGCCTTCTCTGCTGCAGCTCCAAAGAAGCCGTCCTGGAGCTCTGCGACGACTTCAGTCCCTCCGATATGGAATACTACTTTGACCGCAGCCCGAGTTTCTTTTGCTACATCCTCAACTTTTACCTCACGGGGAAGATCCACCTGATGGACGGCCTGTGCGTGGTCTCGTTTGTCCAGGAGATCGAGTACTGGGGCATCAAGGAGCGCCACCTGGACTTGTGCTGCAGCAGCAGGTTCCTGGAACTGATGGAGCAGACATGGGATCAGAGGAGTGATGACCAGCAGCTCCAGAGCTCAGGCTCTTCAGCTGAGGAGCTTACAGCTCTGGAGGACCACATGGAAACCTTTGAAGGCTCCTGCTGTGCAGAAGTTCGCAGAAGGGTTTGGATTCGACTTGAGGATCCAGGTTTCTCCACCTCAGCTAAAGTGATGGCCGTGACATCTGTGAGTGTGGTCATTGTCTCCATTGTTGCCATGTGTCTGAACAGCATGCCAGCTTTCCATCAGGTGGACTCCGATGAGAAGCACACTGAACACCCGGTGCTGGCTTTGATTGAGAACCTCTGCGTCCTGTTCTTCTCCGCAGAGTTCACTCTTCGTTTGGCCGTTGCACCGTCAGCCAAGAAGTTCTTGCTTGGCCCTTTGAACGTCATTGATCTGTCGTCCATTCTGCCCTTCTACGTGACGTTACTCTGTGATGACATGAGCGAGGAGAAGAACGCGGAGCTGGAGAACGTTGGCAAAGTCATGCAGATCCTGAGGTTGATGCGAGTGTTTCGTATTTTGAAGCTGGCTCGACACTCGGCCGGGCTCCGCTCCCTTGGAGCCACGATGCTGCACAGCTCCAGAGAAATGGGCCAGCTGGTGCTCTTCCTGTCCTTGGGGGTTTCTTTTTTTTCCACTCTCATTTATTTTGCAGAGAAAGAATGTAAAGCGTCGGAGCTGCAGACTATTCCTACTGGCTGGTGGTGGGCCACCATAAGCATGACCACAGTGGGCTACGGGGACACAGTCCCAGTTACTTCAGCTGGGAGGCTGATAGGAACCCTGTGCATCGTCTGTGGGCTGCTGATCGTTGCTCTGCCCATTACCAACATCTTCAACAAGTTCTCCAAGTTCCATCAGAGGCAACGGCGCTTTGAGGTCCAACAGAACAGGGCCTGAACAGACCTTTATGGGCCAGCAAAAACTATTTCATGAACTGAGCAGTAGAAAAATATTGATGCATTGTTGTTTATATTTTTATTGATCTGTCTTTTATAAAAAAAAAAAAGAGCAGCAGGGCTATTCAACTAAATTACTCAGGGGGGCACAGTTACTGAAAGCCAAGAGCTCAGGGGCCGGACATCCAGCAGTTATAGTCATTAAGTAAGGTTGTTTTATGGTTTCAATTTTAGTTTTATTTAAAATTAATCCATTGGTGGGCCGAATTGAGTTAATCCGTGGGCCTGATTTGGCCCCTGGGCCACCAGTTGAATAGCCCTGAGCTAGGTGTTTACTGGACTGATGAACAGTTTTTGTTCTATATATGTGTGTGTATGGGTTTATAAAACTGAAAGTAGTCTCACAAAGTTATATTATCTCCTGCATGTGTCAAAATAAATATTTATGAGTCATAATCCAACTTTTAAACTGTGGAGCCAAATCAATCGATGTGTTCCTCATTTTTCGGTTATCTTAAGAAGTAGCGTTTGCAGACAAACTTCGGACCACAGCTCATATGAAAAAATCTTAGCTGTCCAAATCTGCACAGGGAATATTTCAGCAAGGTCAAATTAACTGTAGTAAAAACAAAATGGTTGTGCAACATAAGCCATAATTTCTTCAGCAGTTTGACTTAAAAGTAATAAAGAAAACACGTTCATGATGAAATTATAAAAGGATACACAAATAAAAACAGTGTTTGAGTCCAATTCCCAAA